CTGGCAGGTGCTGTAGGACTAGCACCCTGTCCATCTATTTGGAAGCCATTAAAAATTGATTATGCAAGACTCTGGGCTGAGGGACCGTAGTGCATACGGCAAATGAGCCACCGTGGGAGTCATGGGCATGACCAGACGTGGATGGGCGTTCCATGGCTCTAGATAATCAGCGCTGGATTAGCAGTAGCTCCGAGAACTGCTGTATGCAGCTATATGTATTCATAAATATCCATCTGTATTTAATGTTTGCTGCCAAGTCCAAGATGCATATTCAAATGTAATGCACTTAACGTGGAAAGTGTTGCCACGGTACGTGCAAAGTCCAGGGTTCATGTGTGATCACTTCTGTTTTTCAGGAAAATACTCAGATGTACCAGGGCAGCCCTTGTAAGGACATGTACCCCAATGAGTATTTCCCCCATGGCATCACTAATGGGGCTCACTGGTATAATGTTCAAGGTAAAACACCACGTGGGGAAAAAACTGTTCATGGCCTTGAGTGCGGTGGATCTCGAGTCACATTCATATTGAAAAAACTGTCTGAATCTGTGGAAAAGAGATTCTGTCTTTAGAATTTCCTATTAATCACCTAGCTCTCTTCTCTGGTGGATCTAGCCCAGAGGGACCTGGGCCCCTTTTATAACCTCTAAGTTGTAGTTGGACAAAGTTATTCTGGACTGGGTGAATCTGTGCTATGCCTACCTGTGATCAGGTGGGCTGTGCTCTCCTGGGTTTGCTTTTGGCTATTGGGAAGGAGGGTTTATAAAAACTTAAACATAACTTGCTACAGTCTATATTTTTGAGGTCCAAGTGTGAAAAATGTTTAGTTTAGGAATAAATCTGTCCTTCCTGCATCTTGTCAGTTCTCTGAAGCCTGGGGGAGGTCTCGCCCTGTATAAACCTCTTCAGTTTTCTGTTACAAGGCAGCATTTTGCTGTTAGAATTTCACCCTGTGTGTCTCTAACTTCTCAAAGCTCTACAACTTAACAGCCAGGGTATTTTATGATTGTTGTAAGAAGATTTTGAGGTCCTTAATTATAGTTCTGATGTTTCTGCCTTAGGGGGGATGCAAGATTGGAACTACTTAAACACAAACTGCTTTGAAGTGACCATTGAGTTAGGCTGTGTGAAATACCCAAATGCTGAAGACTTGCCAAAATACTGGGAGCAGAACCACCGATCTCTGCTCCAGTTCATAAAACAGGTGAGATGCTACAATAACCAGCCAGCGGGGACAGAAATGCTGCATAATGCTTTACAGTGCCTCTGAAGTATCCCATGTAAGTCTGCTCACATTAGGGGATCCTGAGTGTGTCTAACTCTGGGCCCATCTGCAGATTGGAACGAGCACTGCTGCTTGGCCAGAATAGGAATTGTTGCAGTGTCAGGGAAACCATCCTGATTATCCAAAAAACCACACGATGAGTTGTGAATGTAGCAGAAGTCCTTCGTAAAAGCTTAAGCCTGTGATGCATGCTCAGAAACAGGCGTAAAAACTTCATCCGGGGTCTCTTCGCCTTTCAGAAGTCTGGAGGAGACCCTATGCTATTATTTCTCTGGGATTTGGAATGGGAGTGCTGTGGAGGCATTTTTCAGACATGATGCATAAATGGAGGCATGTTGCAGTGTCAGATGTAGCAAAGTACTGTACCACTGTCTTGAGTGAAAGTTACTTGTGCCCCTCAGATGAAGCTGACTTCAAACCGGGTATTTACAGGGTACGTTTGGAACTTGGGCCAGGATTTCCTTCACGTCCCCCAGGATTGGAACTGAAATGGAACGTACAGCGATTTGCTGCTTGTTGCCGTGACTCATGGGGTGCTTGGACATCGCAATGCTGAGTGGTGTACATGTCCCAGAGACATATCACTGAACCGTGTTGGTTTTCTGATCCTCTGTCCAGGTTCACCAGGGTGTCAAGGGATTTGTGCTGGACGCCACAGCCGGAAGGGGCATCTCAAATGCTACTATTAGCGTTGCTGACATCGACCACCCTGTCACCTCTTACAAGGCTGGAGACTATTGGCGCCTGTTGGTTCCAGGGTCTTACAAAATCACAGCCTCCGCCCGAGGGTGAGTGACTGGCACCTTGGACAAATTACTGATCTCGGACAAACCTTCCCCTAATTCAGCTGTGTTGCTAGCACCTCTCCCCCTCGGCCAGAAGTGAGCGCCGTGATTTGTGCTTATCCTGAGCAAAGCACTTAACCCCTAGGGAGCAGCCGACCGAACTGTCCGGTAGAGAGTATTCAGTCCACAGAACTGCCAATCATGGGAATGCTTGGCTTCTATTGTGAGAACGATCACAGATGGTTCTGTGTGGTGTAAGGTGGTTAATAAGTGGGTATTTATTGAGGAGAAACTTAACCATAAAGAGAGCCGCTCAAGAATAGTTTAATTAATTGCTCTGGATCTGCCAAAGCCTGGTCACCATTCCAGCCAAAGCTGCCTCGCTTAGTCCCACCTGATAGCCCTGTACCATAGCAGCTGGACTGTTGAATTCCCCAGCCCCACCTGCTGGTAGGAACTGCAGTGATCTGTGGTGATCACTGGCTCCCACTCAGATTCTGGGTCCTCTGCCTCCCATGGTATTCAGAATGTCTTGTCTCAGAGCTGCCTTGCTATTGTTTTGTTTTCCTTTGCTGTGCACTTCGCCTTAGATTGTGGTGGAGAAAAGGTTACAGTCGAACATGATGTCGAGCTGGGGAAGATACTGCAACAAATGGAGTGTTTGAACCTGCTTTCAATTTCCCTGTATGTCTTCTCCTCTGTCAGGTATAACCCGCTCACCAAGACCGTGACCGTCGGGAACAGAGGCGCGGTGCAAGTCAACTTCACTCTTTCACGAACAGATTCCAAAGTTGAGGAGGGGAAGATCCCGGTCATCACCAATGAAGACACTAGCGATCCCTCTGCCAAGGAGTTTGAGACCCTGATCAAAGACCTCTCTGCTGAGAACGGCTTGGAACACCTCGTGCTAACCTCTTCAATGGATGTTTCTCCCTACCGCTACCATCCATACAAAGATCTGTCCGACTTCCTTAGAGCCCTCAACTTGAACTACCCTCAGATCACAAATCTCACTAAGTAAGTGATGCTGATTCTAGCTCCTGGCCTCCCAAAGAAACAGCCGGTGGCAGTACAGTAGCATACAGCCATGAGTGCGCTCACCACATTACACGCACTGGAAGCTAGAGTCCCTGTCCGAAGATGGCTAATATAAGCGACACACAATACCTGTAGCAGGTATCTGTACTGGACATAGGATGGACCTCTAATCTCAAAGCCATATAGGTTTTGGGTTGTCACTGATCCCCCTCCCCCCCGGGAAAAGGTTTGGTTACAATATGAATAGAGGGCAGCAGGCACAGAGGGGAAGAAGATTGAAATATGAAGGGACAAAGATGGGGAATCCCAAAGGCCCTTTGGGGGAGGGAGGGAGGGCTGTAGGCAGAAATGAGCAGATACATGGTGTGTGTCTTAAAGGATCTTGAGGGGAGGCTAAGAAGCAGATGAGTAGGTATCACAGTTAAGGCTGAGTCACTGACCAGCATTAAATGAGCATTTGATCAATCGCATGATAGGAACATCAAGGTCCCGGAGAAGAGCTGTATCTCTCCGGGTAAAGGAGATCCTGCCTTTGCGCTCTTGAATGTGCATCTCTCCATACGCTCCAGTTAGTGCCTTTTCTTCTGCATCCCCTCCTCTCTAGCGCCCTCTGCTGTTCTTACCCAAATTGGGACAGTCACTAATGAAAGCAATCACTGGGAGGGGTGTCCTGAGTGGCTCTGTCCCTCTGGTGTCCCAGGCAGTATGATCTCAGACATTCCTTTGTTCTTTCCTTTCTTTATGACCTTGTACCCTCTTCCAGATCACTGTTGCCCTAGAGACCACTTCTGGGTTGCCTTCTTTAACCAGCCCACCCGCATGTGGTCCCCTGTCTGCTGTGGTCCTTCGCTCTCTTTTCTCTTGTGACTGGTGTTGGCAGAATGGCACCTGGGGCCAGTACCAGGCCTGGTGCGATCTGCTGATTTATATGCCTTCCACATACTGTTTGCCTGACTATGCCGTGCCTGGCAATGCTAGTGTGCTGCCCACACTTATTCCGGAGCTGCTGTTCTCATCTGTAGACCCTGTTGAGCTTCCAGTTCCGTCAATCGTCATTGTCTTGCTTCCACTTCTTTCATGAATGGCAGTGACCCATGGCTTGTGCAGTCAGCTGTAGCATTTTCAGAACATGGAATTTGGTTTGCGGTGTCCCTCTGTTTGCTTGTCAGTCGGAAATCCAGTCACTGATGAGATGTTACCCTTGGGGTTATAGTCATCACATGTCAAAAATGGGGTTTAAATGGGCCTTGGCCGCATCCCTTTTATACTGTATTAATTTAGATGGAATATATGGGCTCAAGGTATCAAAGGTGTTAACATGACCATGTCTGGCACCTCGCAAACATGCTGTAAATCCTTTAAAACTTTTTAAAAGATACAGGAAAAAAGGAACAACCGTTAAAACATTTGGGGAGGGCTTTCATTTTAACAACATTCCTTGTTCTCTTTGCTCTTACTTGTAGGGAATCTTGTCTGACCATCTCCTAGAGGGCATTAAAGATAACTGTCCTGTTGGGGGAAAGAGAAGTTAATTGAAATAAGCTGGAGCTGTTAAAAGTCCAGTCCCATTTCCTAGAAGACCAAACAAGATGAGCACACACAAGAGGGAAGAGAAAAGACAGCAGAGCTAGAAAATGCAGCTTCTGTCACATTGTAACCTCAATGCTGGAAAATCAGCGGCATATCCCATGATCTCAGAAATCCCCTGAGACCTGGCAAAATGTTATCAGCATTGGGCCATTTAGAGCTTTAGATTTAGCTGCGTTTCTGGTCACAGGCTTACAGCAATGTTGCAAAATATTGCCGTTTTGTCCAGATAAGCCAGACTTATTAGAAAAGAGAAGAAATAAGGTACGGTAGGAAATGGACACATATGGGGGAGGAGGGGAAGACAAAAATGTCACATCCCAAGTGGCATATGGGATCTAGCTGGAGCCTGCAGAGGTGGTGATGTCCTCTGGGTCCCCGCCTGTCTGGGGAGGATCTCTCTCAGGGTCAGGTCAAAGAAGGCAGGCAGTGTTGTCACACTGCATCCCAGGGCAACAGCTTTGCCTCCTTCTAGCCCCTCACTGACCTGCGCAAAGTCCAGGCCAGAGGTGGTTCTCCAGCCATAAATAATCAGTGCTTCTGTTTCTTATCTGTTGGCAGCTTGGGTCACAGCGTTGAGTACCGTCAAATGTGGTCCCTTGAAATATCCAACAAACCCAACCAGTCTGAACCCGAGGAGCCCAAGATCCGCTTTGTTGCTGGTATCCATGGAAATGCTCCGGTTGGCACCGAACTGCTCCTGGCATTGGCAGAGTTCCTCTGTATGAACTACAAAAAGAATGCAGCCATCACCAAGGTAAGAAGGCAGCATCTGTGTCGCCCTCCCCACCTGCCATGGGGTCCTGGCCTGAACAAAGGGTGGTTACTGCCGAAAACCATCCTCTTCATGCAGGGCTGTGGGTTATAGAAAATCCAGAAGACTTGGCGGGGGGGTCTGAGGACAGTGTAAACTCTGGGCCCAACCATGTGTGGTGGGGGGAAGGCTCCTGCAAAGACCATGGGAGTTGATGGCGGGTGGGGCGTTCAGGTGTCCCTCCCTGACTGTTGTGAGGCAGCTGGCAGCACAGGGGTTGCAGCAGCTGGCCAGGGTCTGTAGACCCCTATCCCTGCCATCCTGCGCACAATGGTGAAAACCCAAGGCTAACTCTTCTGCAGTGTAGGCAGCGCTTCTTGGAGCCTGAGCAAGTGAAAGTGCTGGGAATTATTGGCTTTAAAGTACTGGGTTTGTCTCGGGGAGGGGTCTGCCGAGCATGTTTCATGGCTAGCTGCTGAACTTTCTTCTCTCTGTGCTGATTGACAGCTGATTGACAGGACAAGAATTGTGATTGTGCCGTCCATAAATCCAGACGGGCGTGAGATCGCTCAGGAGAGAGACTGCACATCCAAGACTGGCCAAACCAATGCTCACGGCAAAGATCTGGACACAGACTTCACAAGTAAAGCTAGTTAATGTTTAGTCTCTTGGCAAAAACCAATGCAGTGGTGAACTGATCTCCCCGATAAACACTCTAGACTTGGTGTCAGTCATGTTGTTGCAAGGTCCAGCACTGCTGACCGCTTCAGTTATGCCTCAGTTATTCTAACTGGCTGGGATATCGTGATACTCTTAGAGTTGAGACAGGTTACAGAGGGTAACTTTAAATACCGCTTTTTGCGAAGGAAGGAAAATCCTAGTTTGTTCATGATACTCTCTACCAGAATCTAGAGATAAGACACACCTAATGACTCTGATATTGACTTCATGGTTCCGGGGGGTGGGAGGATCTTTTAAACCCAGACGCTCTCCTCCTTTTTGCTGCCAACCTCCTCCTCCATTATCTAGAGCTATTACATTGGAGAACCCCAAGTCTGTCCTGTCTGGAGTCTGTGTTCCTGACCAATGTTTTGGCTGGCTTTGTTGCCTGGGGACGCGTGAAGCACTGATTTTGGGGAATGGCATCAGTTATGTGACTGAAGTGGAGATAACTTGCAAGAATTGCTCCCTAGATCGTGGTGGGAAATAGTGACCTGCAAGGTCTATTGGAGGTGGTGGATGAATGCAGCCACTGATGGCAGTTCATTGACTATCTGGAGTGGCCACGTGTCTTACTTTTTAAATGCTGTTAGGTGCCACTTGTTATGGCAGTGGCCCCACAGAAATACCTTGCAGCTGGCGTTGGTACAAACACTAGCAAAGCGTGTAGTTCTGGAAGCCTTTACCATCGCAGAGGGACACTTTTCTGCTGAGCTCTCATGACTTCCTTTGTCTGTTCTGTTTTTAGGCAATTTCTCCTCATACTCTGGGATAGGAGAGCCGGAGACCAAAGCAATCATTGAGAACTTGATCCTGAAGCGAGATTTCAGCCTCTCTGTTGCACTGGATGGTGGATCTCTCCTTGTAACTTACCCATATGATAAACCCGTGCAGACAGGTACAACTAACTCCTCACAAGCCTCCTCACTCTGCACTTAGGATCAGTTATTGTTTCGGTAGTCCCGTGTTCAGCTGCAGGCTTGTTCTGCGCCAGCATAGCTGGTTATCTGGGTTTGAGTGGGCTTGTCTTGTTGCTGAATTGAGAGCAAAATGAAAATTAGACTACCTGGCTAATGATGCAAGACAGCTGGGGCACTGCTGCCAGTGTTAAGCTATGCAGCGTAAGAACTTGCACTGTCCGTTGCAGGAAGGGTTGAGAGTATATGGTCTGGGAGCTATTAAAAACAAGCCAGTGCAATGGGATTCAGTGACAGTGTCCGTTTGACCAAACTTCATAATGTTCAGGAAATGCAGTTTAGAAACTGAGCCCTGTTTGAGGCAGTCTGAGCACTGTGCGATGTCATTAATTTAGTCTGCCTTGGTTAAAGGCAGCTCCTACTAATGTTCTAACCTTCCTCTTTATAGTGGAAAATAAAGAAACTCTGAGACATTTAGCATCTCTGTATGCAAACAACCATCCGTCAATGCATCTAGGTCAGCCAGGCTGTAAAAATGAGTCAGGTACGTGCATATGATGCCCTGGACTGTGGCCGTTTTTGTGCTGTCCACTCTTTGCAGAGGATTTTCTGACATTTGTCTGTCTGTACAGATAAGAACATTCCAGGAGGTGTCATCCGGGGGGCAGAATGGCACAGTCACCTGGGCAGTATGAAGGTATTTTATAGAGAGCTTCGACTCCGCCTCAGTGCATAGCCAGGCTTAAACTACAAGTAGAAACTCAGTTACAATCACGTCAGGAATGGAGACTATTTGTAACTCTGAACAAAATGTTATGGTTGTTCTTTCAAAAGTTTACAACTGAACGTTGACTTAATAC